AAACAAACAACACAACAGAATAGAACAGAATGAAAAAGAACAGAAGAGACAAGTGAATTTGCAAAACATCAACTGACACTAATTATCCACCTTCAAACTATGCACACAACAAACACTCCACATGCAATCCCACGTGTGCACCACATTCAACAATCAAGTCACTGTCCGTCTCACCACCATCCCTCTATACACATGAAACTGATTAACCATCTACTTCATGTACAACAACACACATCCATCGTTTGCACAGATATCTCATGATTCTTCTCTCATCCAAGTGATCTCACTTATTCGCTCACTCACTCACTCACACACTCCCTCACACAATCAATCAATCACTCACTCTCTCACTCTCTCAATCAATCAATCAATCATTCACACACACACGTACACTCACTTAGTCAATCAATCAATCACACATCCCATCCCATTCCATCGCATCACACCTCTCCAATGACCGAGATGTGGATGGAGTCACTCTGCTAGTCAACTGTCACAGGCACATCCGAACACAGTTATTGAGGCTCTGACCAACACAACAACCGGATCAGACAGATAGATGTTGCTTGTTCACCAGCACCATCAACTCACTCACCTTTCTTTAAAATTCCACCATTTTTACGTTGTGGATCACGGTCGTGATCATCCCTTCCATAACCAACAATGAAAACCGCAGTTCCAGGTCTCGGTATATCCGTTGGCTGTGGCAGACTGAGCACTCTGATTCCAGTCTGTAAGTTGACCAATTGAGCGAGTGATACAATTGCAATGTCGAATCCACTGAGTGTCTGTTGGATTGGTCTCCTCTGTCGTGCCGACATACAAGAGGGCATATATCCTGGTGCTACCACCACTCCAGACGGTTGATGATGGATGCCTTGTTGGTCGCCATTCCTCAGTGTGAGAAATGAAACCTGAAATACACAACGTATGTTCACATTAGATCTATGCAAACCAACTGCACACACACACACAGTGACACACACACTCACACAGAAACACACTGTGAAACTAATCGATCACATCGAGCAACAATGTGTTTCAGTGTGATCTCTTACCCGAACGACTGGCAGCGGTGAGCAAACACAATGACCAGCTGTGAGCACTGCCCTTGTTGACACTAATGAGCCTGTACACATTGTGTTCTCTGTGGTCAAAAATGCGATGAACGGGAATTCAGTGCGTTGTTGCACAGGTTCACCACTACGTATCAACCATGTTGACACACGTTCAAATGTTAGACAGTAGGTGAACAGCGTCACCATCAGAAATCTCCATCGGTTCAACATGGCTATGTGATCGTTGCAATCAACCACCTACCTACAATCTTGCAACACATTCACCAATTTATATGCGCTAATATTTCCTGACTGTTGAGTACATGTGAGTGATTTTGCATGTGTGTCAGTCAGTGTACTACGATTATGCACCATTCATAAAACCGACTTGCACTCCACTTCAATCATGGATTGTTGTTGTTGTTGTTGTCGTCGTCGTCGTCGTCACGGTTTCACTTTGTGTGATCATGGTCATGACACGCCCCAATCATTAATGAGGAAGTGCACGATTCTCGTGTGTTGTCGTCGCATATTTTGCTGTACGACAATCTTGTCCAACTGTTCACGAGAGTATGTTAGCATAAGGAGGAGCACAGCACTCATCATAAATCACATCATCATCATCATCATCACCATCGTCATTGTGAAAAGCATATCACCACATGAGTGTGGTGACATGATGCATGATCACTCTCAGTTGCAATTCGTTCACAAACTACAACGAATCAAATGTGAATTGGTGGAATTTGTGCAAGTTGAACAAGTTGGACAAACAATGGGAAGGATGATGCAAGTGATGCTTCGAAGTAATATGTGACCACATTGACGAATCGACTGGTAGACAGAAGCAAAGCATCAGTGTATGATAAATGGAATGTGAGAATGGAAACAAAGTGGATGAGGAGATCACAGTAGTTGTATATGACATCTGCACATGGTTTAATCAGACTAGTTGTGATTGGTATTTATTCATTGACCAGTTACTCAGTTGTTGTTTAGCATTGCTACAATTGAAATAATAATATTGATGACTGTGGCAGTGAGAGTGGAGTGAGATTTTAAGGAGTGAATAATGCCACTTAAATAATAGTGTGTGATATAAACACTGTAGAGATATTGTACTACGATGTGTGGTATGAGGGAATTGTTTTCGGTGTGTAACTGCCTCCCACTCTACGCCGTAGTGAATATCTCTATAGTGTTTATATTACTCACTACACGTTCCAGTGGCCTTACAACTTCTCGAAAATGAAGAAACTACTCTGGAGCACAATCAGACAGAGATCAAACAAACACTAACCTCAACATGTCGGGAGGTTCTGTGTCGTAACAAGCATCGTCATAACGAATGCATCTTTATGGAAACATTGATGCGGATTCAAGAATTGAAGAAGAAGGAGAGGGAGAAGAAGAATATAGCAATTAAGAACAATAGAACAAGAGCAGAGAAAGTCAAGGCATGAGCTGAATACACTGAAGCAAACAAGCAAGTGGAAACGAACATTGGAGCCGACCATCAGAAATTTGTGGAAGAGCTAGCAACAACAGTGGCAGAATCTTTAGCAGATTGAAATACCAAACAACCGTATGACTCAGCGATGAAACTGGTAGGGGAATATGTTGAGTGAGAGGGACCGCTCACGGACGAAGACGGCAAGACAATCTCTGAAATTCAAGGAATGAGGAACAGATAAGTGGAACATTTTGACGAACTGTTGAATAGACCGGCTCCATTGAATCCCCTGGATATCGAGGCAGTACACACACACACACACTCGTATAGATGTCACTCCATCAACGATCGAAGAAATCACGGTGGCCATCAGACGAATCGAGAGTGAGAAGGCAGAAAGACCTGACAACGTACCGGTCGAATTACTCAACTCAGATATCAAAGTAACTGCAAGCATGCTACATGTTCTATTGAGGAAGATTTGGGAAGAAGAACAAGTGCGACTGACAGACTGGGAAGAAGGACACCTAATCAAGATACCAAAGAAAAGTGATCTGAGCAAATGTGAGAACCACAGATGCATCAGTACCAGGAAAGGTTTACAACAGAGTGTTGGTGAACCGGATTGAAGACTCAGTAGACACCCAACTCCGACATCAACAGACCGGATTCCGTGAGCATCCGTTGCGAACATACCAGATAACAACACCAGAGATCATCGTTAAACAGTCAGTTGAATTGAACTCATCGCTATACATCAACCAGAGCGAATCTCTGAGTGTGCGAAGCATTTTCTTTTCCGTGAAGAGAATACAGTAGCATACAATAGCACCGTATCGAATCTTTGCTGTCCAGCTAGCATCCAATGGATTTCACTGATAGCGATCTCTGCCAACTTGTATCTCCTCATTTCTCTTACTACTTGACTGATCCTCACGGTCTCCCACATTTTCCGAAAGTTCCGTGTACACATAAAACTTGTTGCTGCGATTGTTAGAAGGGCATCGGTCTGCTGAATTCGGAAGTACCTCGACTTTCATTATAACGCATCATAATTCTTCCTTCAACTCTCAGTTCAGAGTTTAAGTTGCTTAGTTTGCTTATTTTCGTTAACGCTTTATAGCGAGATTGTCTCCTAATTGATGGCGTTGCGGACTATTTGACAAACCTCGTCTTTTAACCGGCCTCGTGATCGGCATCACACTAGTACAGATGTAGGCAAGGTTTTAGCATCATTGTGGTAGTGAGGGGAGCCATACGTCATAGGAATGAATAATACCACTTAAATTATAGTAAATGATAAAAACAGTATGGAGATATTCACTACGCTGTCGAGTGGGAGGCAGTTACACACCGAAAACAATTACCCCACACCACACATCGTAGTACAATATCTCTACAGTGTTTATATCACACACTATTATTTAAGTGGCATTATTCACTCCTTAAAATCTCACTCCACTCTCACTGCCACAGTCATCAATATTATTATTTCAATTGTAGCAATGCTAAACAACAACTGAGTAACTGGTCGATGAATAAATACCAATCACAACTAGTCTGATTAAACCATGTGCAGATGTCATATACAACTACTGTGATCTCCTCATCCACTTTGTTTCCATTCTCACATTCCATTCATCATACACTGATGCTTTGCTTCTGTCTACCAGTCGATTCGTCAATGTGGTCACATATTACTTCGAAGCATCACTTGCATCATCCTTCCCATTGTTTGTCCAACTTGTTCAACTTGCACAAATTCCACCAATTCACATTTGATTCGTTGTAGTTTGTGAACGAATTGCAACTGAGAGTGATCATGCATCATGTCACCACACTCATGTGGTGATATGCTTTTCACAATGACGATGGTGATGATGATGATGATGTGATTTATGAAGAGTGCTGTGCTCCTCCTTATGCTAACATACTCTCGTGAACAGTTGGACAAGATTGTCGTACAGCAAAATATGCGACGACAACACACGAGAATCATGCACTTCCTCATTAATAATTAGGGCGTGTCATGACCATGATCACACAAAGTGAAACCGTGACGACGACGACGACGACAACAACAACAACAACAACAACAATCCATGATTGAAGTGGAGTGCAAGTCGGTTTTATGAATAGTGCATAATCGTAGTACACTGACTGACACACATGCAAAATCACTCACATGTACTCAACAGTCAGGAAATATTGGCGCATATAAATTGGTGAATGTGTTGCAAGATTGTAGGTAGGTGGTTGATTGCAACGATCACATAGCCATGTTGAACCGATGGAGATTTCTGATGGTGACGCTGTTCACCTACTGTCTAACATTTGAACGTGTGTCAACATGGTTGATACGTAGTGGTGAACCTGTGCAACAACGCACTGAATTCCCGTTCATCGCATTTTTGACCACAGAGAACACAATGTGTACAGGCTCATTAGTGTCAACAAGGGCAGTGCTCACAGCTGGTCATTGTGTTTGCTCACCGCTGCCAGTCGTTCGGGTAAGAGATCACACTGAAACACATTGTTGCTCGATGTGATCGTTTAGTTTCACAGTGTGTTTCTGTGTGAGTGTGTGTGTCACTGTGTGTGTGCGTGTGCAGTTGGTTTGCATAGATCTAATGTGAACATACGTTGTGTATTTCAAGTTTCATTTCTCACACTGAGGAATGGCGACCAACAAGGCATCCATCACCAACCGTCTGGAGTGGTGGTAGCACCAGGATATATGCCCTCTTGTATGTCGGCACGACAGAGGAGACCAATCCAACAGACACTCAGTGGATTCGACATTGCAATTGTATCACTCGCTCAATTGGTCAACTTACAGACTGGAATCAGAGTGCTCAGTCTGCCACAGCCAACGGATATACCGAGACCTGGAACTGCGGTTTTCATTGTTGGTTATGGGAGGGATGATCACGACCGTGATCCACAACGTAAAAATGGTGGAATTTTAAAGAAAGGTGAGTGAGTTGATGGTGCTGGTGAACAAGCAATATCTATCTGTCTGATCCGGTTGTTGTGTTGGTCAGAGCCTCAATAACTGTGTTCGGATGTGCCTGTGACAGTTGACTAGCTGAGTGACTCCATCTGCATCTCGGTCATTGGAGAGGAGTGATGCGATGGAATGGGATGGGATGTGTGATTGATTGATTGACTAAGTGAGTGTGTGTGTGATTGATTGATTGATTGATTGATTGAGTGAGTGAGTGAGTGAGTGAGTGAGTGAGTGAGTGAGTGAGTGAGTGAGTGAGTGAGTGAGTGAGTGAGTGAGTGAGTGAGTGAGTGAGTGAGGAAGTGAGATCACTTGGATGAGAGAAGAATCATGAGATATCTGTGCAAACGATGGATGTGTGTTGTTGTACATGAAGTAGATGGTTAATCAGTTTCATGTGTATAGAGGGATGGTGGTGAGACGGACAGTGACTTGATTGTTGAATGTGGTGCACACGTGGGATTGCATGTGGAGTGTTTGTTGTGTGCATAGCTTGAAGGTGGATAATTAGTGTCAGTTGATGTTTTGCAAATTCACTTGTCTCTTCTGTTCTTTTTCATTCTGTTCTATTCTGTTGTGTTGTTTGTTTGACACAGGTCGAGCGACTATAATGGAATGCCGACACGCGACCAATGGCGATCCCATTTGTGTGAAGTCAGGTCAGAATTTCGGACAGTTACCCGCTCCAGGTGACAGTGGTGGACCTCTCCTTCCATCCCCTCAAGGTCCAGTACTCGGTGTCGTATCACATGGTGTCACACTGCCAAACCTTCCCGATATCATTGTCGAGTATGCCAGTGTGGCTAGAATGTTGGATTTTGTACGCTCCAATATTTGAACAATATTTCAACAATATTTGAACAATACCAACTAGTATCATTCATACATGTGTGTACATAATCTATCGATAAAAATCCACATGCTATTGTGTTAAGATATTTCTGATAAATAAACAACCTAATCAATTATTACAACACTCCATCCGTTTTCTCTAAGTTTGTGAGTGTGGTGCAATTTGCGTGTGTGTTGATCAGTGAAGTGCTAGTGAAATGGGCAGTTATTTATTTGCTGCTTATCATCACGATGCTGCTTGATCACGATGCATGAATATACGCATGTTGCGAGAGAGTAGGAAAGTGGTGAAGGCGGTTCGGTTCATGTGACAGTCATTCATTCATCCATTCATTTAGTCAGTCAGTCAGTCAGTCAGTCGGTCATTGGTAGCAACGAAACGGATTACACAAATCAACATCATCATCACCATCATCGTAAAACAATAGGCACTTGTTGTTGTTGTTGTTGTTGTGAGAACAGTAGGGTTAATAGATGAGATCATATAATTTGACATTATCTATCTGATCGTGATTGCGAACATCTTGTTTTCTAAGTAATATCTGATAATGTTATTGTCCACTATGATACATCTCATTTCTAATTGATCCATGCTACTGAATTCATTCCACTTACAACACTCTCTCACTATATTTGTGTATTGTGCCTTTCAAAAGTCGATGCTGATCACACTCATAAGTCATATTGAACTATTTGATCCAGTTGTTGATAGGTATGATGTGAGACAAGGTTGGTAAATGCTTCTTCCATTAAACAATATCTGAGAACGATAGCAATATTTACTTAAGTGGGTAATTTTCGTTTATCGTTTGACGTATTTGATAAGTGAGATTTTTGGGTGAGTAATTAGGGATATTGGAACATTCGATTAGCTGTTTACTCGTTTGTTGATCAAATCATGTCTCAAATTGTGATGCTTTCATCATTTCACACCTAATTTTGAAGTGGGAATATGATAGTGACTAGGAGATGAAGGTTAGTGTGGACAGAAACAGAAACAAATGAGTCATAATCAACAAAGGAAGCTATTTTTGGTGACTCGATTTCACTTAATTGAAAGCTTGAAGAACACTAACATTTAGTTTTTCAACTAGTTTATTTTACACACCATAAGCTTTCGTTTGATGCATGATTCACTGTCATACCCGATTCAGCTCCAAATCCATGGTAATTTAAACACAACTTTCACTACTCTATTTTACCACCCCGATTTACAGATTTGAACATAATTGTATTTTCTTAATTGTCGGCTCGTTATGGTCATGTTAGTCATCTATTTGCTCGTGTGTCATTCTGCACTAATCTGAATTGGAGTTGTGAGTTGTGAGTTGGAAATCGGAATAAGGAATGAATCGATTAGTGTTCCATTTGACTCGTCTACTCTCTCTCTCTCCCTCTCTCTTTCTCACTTATCAAGCGATCAGGTGATAGAATGGTTTTCGTGTCGGTTGCAGATGTCCGTTCGAAAAAACACCGATCATCTCTTCACATGACATATTGATTGAACTGTGGAATACAGTTGATGTTCAAAACGACCAAGGGGAGAATCAAGGCTTATGATGAAACAGTTGAGATATGTTCGACTTTTTATATCTTACAGATGATATTCATTGTTGATCAGTTTCTTCATATAACAACACTTGTCAATGCATCGACATTTGTAGAAATATATCGATGCGACCAAAATAATCATAATCATAATAATTATTGTTATTATTATTATTATTGCTATGCTTATCTGTGAAGTGATTATCAGAAACACTGAGCTTGGCAGGAAGTTTGTTATATGTGAATAATGTGTCACCACAGTGTCTGAACATGATGAAGGATTATAGGTGTGATGGAGTTGATTGGAAGAAGAAGTGTAACATGGATGGTTCGATATTGTAGATGATAGGGTTGAAGCTGGAATGTGGTGATGCGAACACATCCATGGATTCTTTGTATCGACAACTAGTCATTTACACTTTTACAGTTGACTATTCGTGTTGCATCCACCAAACTTGTTGTTTTTGTTTTCGGTCTGTTAATAAAGTACCATTTCTAGGAGATCTCATTGGACAGTTCACATAGTATTAATAAATTTCACAAAATAACCAATGAACCAATGAATCTTAAAGGACTGGAGAAAATTCTATTTAGCTGAAGGGAAACTTGATGGAGTAATTTGGTATAGTTTGTTGATTATATTCGTTACTAGTCAGCTGACTGAGGAGTAATCTATTAGAATTAAACAGTTATCTAGAGTTTTCCAGAATTCAATGATTATCCCAAATCAGATTAATCTATTACGACTTCAATCCACATATGAATGAGTAAACTATGAACTCAGCTTTATTGTTCTCTCCTAATCAGTTGGTTTTCACAGTCCATATATATATATTATTGATTTATTGATTGAGTGAAAAAGAGAATCTGTACACTGATCAGTCATGTTAATATGATCCAACTATACTAAACTAATTTAGTATGAATCAGTTTCCTTAAGTGTGTATTCAAAATGTGATTGCATGAAGATATGGTGATCTAATGACAACTAATTTTGCACACAGTAAAGATGGATGATAGCTAGTGGTAGAATGAGGGACGAGGGTTTCGCACATTTTGTGACGATGTTCGTAATCACGATCAGATTGATAATGTCAAATTATATAATCACATCTATTAACCCTACTGTTCTCACAACAACAACAACAAGTGCCTATTGTTTTACGATGATGGTGATGATGATGTTGATTTGTGTAATCCGTTTCGTTGCTACCAATGACCGACTGACTGACTGACTGACTGACTAAATGAATGGATGAATGAATGACTGTCACATGAACCGAACCGCCTTCACCACTTTCCTACTCTCTCGCAACATGCGTATATTCATGCATCGTGATCAAGCAGCATCGTGATGATAAGCAGCAAATAAATAACTGCCCATTTCACTAGCACTTCACTGATCAACACACACGCAAATTGCACCACACTTGCAAACTTAGAGAAAACGGATGGAGTGTTGTAGTAATTGATTAGGTTGTTTATTTATCAGAAATATCTTAACACAATAGCATGTGGATTTTTATCGATAGATTATGTACACACATGTATGAATGATACTAGTTGGTATTGTTCAAATATTGTTGAAATATTGTTCAAATATTGGAGCGTACAAAATCCAACATTCTAGCCACACTGGCATACTCGACAATGATATCGGGAAGGTTTGGCAGTGTGACACCATGTGATACGACACCGAGTACTGGACCTTGAGGGGATGGAAGGAGAGGTCCACCACTGTCACCTGGAGCGGGTAACTGTCCGAAATTCTGACCTGACTTCACACAAATAGGATCGCCATTGGTCGCGTGTCGGCATTCCATTATAGTCGCTCGACCTGTGTCAAACAAACAACACAACAGAATAGAACAGAATGAAAAAGAACAGAAGAGACAAGTGAATTTGCAAAACATCAACTGACACTAATTATCCACCTTCAAACTATGCACACAACAAACACTCCACATGAAATCCCACGTGTGCACCACATTCAACAATCAAGTCACTGTCCGTCTCACCACCATCCCTCTATACACATGAAACTGATTAACCATCTACTTCATGTACAACAACACACATCCATCGTTTGCACAGATATCTCATGATTCTTCTCTCATCCAAGTGATCTCACTCACTCGCTCACTCACTCACTCACTCAATCAATCAATCAATCAATCACTCACACACACACTCACTTAGTCAATCAATCAATCACACATCCCATCCCATTCCATCGCATCACACCTCTCCAATGACCGAGATGCAGATGGAGTCACTCTGCTAGTGAACTGTCACAGGCACATCCGAACACAGTTATTGAGGCTCTGACCAACACAACAACCGGATCAGACAGATAGATGTTGCTTGTTCACCAGCACCATCAACTCACTCACCTTTCTTTAAAATTCCACCATTTTTACGTTGTGGATCACGGTCGTGATCATCCCTTCCATAACCAACAATGAAAACCGCAGTTCCAGGTCTCGGTATATCCGTTGGCTGTGGCAGACTGAGCACTCTGATTCCAGTCTGTAAGTTGACCAATTGAGCGAGTGATACAATTGCAAT